TGGAAATCTCCTCCTACCTTACTACCTTACCTTACTATAATATGGAAATCTCCCTACCTTACTATAATATGGAAATCTCCCCTACCTTACCTACTAAATATGGAAATCTCCCCTACCTTACTATAATATGGAAATCTCCCCTACCTTACTATAATATGGAAATCTCCCCTACCTTACTATAATATGGAAATCTCCCCTACCTTACTATAATATGGAAATCTCCCTACCTACTCCCCTACCTTACTATAATATGGAAATCTCCTCTACCTTACTATAATATGGAAATCTCCCTTACCTTACCATAATATGGAAATCTCCTCTACCTTACTGTAATATAGAAATCTCCCCTACCTTACTATAATATGGAAATCTTGTCTACCTTACCGTAACATGGAAATCTCTCCTACCCTACAGTAATATGGAAATCTCCCCTACCTTACTATAATATGGAAATCTCCCCTACCTTACTATAATATGGAAATCTCCCCTACCTTACTATAATATGGAAATCTCCCTTACCTTACCATAATATGGAAATCTCCTCTACCTTACTTTAATATGGAAATCTCCCCTACCCTACCATAATATTGAAATCTCCCCTACCCTACAGTAATATGGAAATCTACCCGACCTTACTATAATATGGAAATCTCCCCTACCTTACAGTAATATTGAAATCTCCCCTACCTTACTATAATATGGAAATCTCCCCTACCTTACTATAATATGGAAATCTCCCCTACCTTACTATAATATGGAAATCTCCCCTACCCTACCATAATATTGAAATCTCCCTTACCTTACTATAATATGGAAATCTCCTCTACCTTACTATAATATGGAAATCTCCTCTACCTTACTATAATATGGAAATCTCCCTTACCTTACCATAATATGGAAATCTCCTCTACCTTACTGTAATATAGAAATCTCCCCTACCTTACTATAATATCTTCCCTAACCTCATGCTGTATTACACTACACGGAAAGGTCCCCTGCAATATATTTCAAAGGAAATCGGGTTTCAATATTTTCATAAACACGATTTTGATAACTGTGTTATTGTGATTCTGAAATAAAATCAGGCGAGACTCAACCGAGGTTCAATGGTTAGTTGTACTAATTAATCATAGCGAGCCATTCTGTGCTTTAAAACATTAACAATATATAACAGAAACGAAATAAAATATTGAGTTATAGCGATAAGGGTTCTTAATAATAACAGGACATCAAAGTACTCACCTGTTTCACCACACTGCGTTCTATCAAACGCTCTAGCCACCGAATACACGGAATACACAGTCAAAACGAAAGTAACGAGACGGAAGTGTTAACATCATACATACTAAACATTAACCCGTGTACGGTCACGGCGTTTTCCGGACATTTCCCTCTTACATTGGTTGTTTTGATATTTAATCATAGACAGTTCTCCAAAATCGATTTGTTATTACGTAAAACGACAGAATACTGAGAGAAGAATCCATGGATTCATACTTTTCGTCTGCGTGCACGTGACGACCTCTCATCTAAAAGCAAATTGTTAGCCAAACTTAAAAGAAAAAAAAAGTTTCTTCAAGTTTCTTTCCATTTTTAACTATCTTATTATTCATATCTTTTCATAATTGGATTTCCAAAAAGATATTGTCGGTCTTAATGAAAAATTGACTGGATTTGGCGAAAATTGAAAACGTATATTTAAATCGATCTATTATGTTATGTTGAAGTTAAGAATAAACAGTAAAATTATATCGATTTCTCGAGTTTTTTATATGATTTTCAGATTATCACATCAACGTTCTGATCCAGACTTAAAATGTCTAATCTTCTTAGTGATGGCATTTTACGGATAATACGGAAACTACAATTAAAACGAACTGTCTTCGAGTATGTCGGTGTTTAGAAATATATAACGAATTTTCCTTCACGGTATATCCATGATAACTTGCCATATTGGTATGCTCTAATTTCCCCAGACCGTTTCCAGCTGGCTATCTGTGATAATAAGTTATTTTCTTTTATCCATCGCAGAAAACACCAACTAAGATCAAATGGGTAAAAATTAATTTCCGGAAATAATTCGTAACTTGTGCACAGAAGAGTTACATGCCTGCCGCTATTTCTGTATTACTTTTCATTTCTTCAGAGTTACATCCGTTTACATATTTTTCAAAGGACATAACCACAAGGCAATTTCCTACCGTAGAAACGATAATGCCGACGATTTCAGATTTTGTAGGAAAAAGGTCGATTTGTGAAGATTTGGTCAACTACCTTCAGTAAATCTAGTGTAACAAATTGACCATCATTGCACTGAAGTATTAGATTACTATATCAATAGAAATAACAATATTATTGGTAATTATACCATTAGTACGTATCACTGATCCAGAAGCAGAGGTAGTAATCGAGTGCAGCGGCGGGAACCTCAACGACGATAATGGGATAGAAAATGATGGTCAATCGATAACTATTTATTTATTCATTGATTCATTTATTATAATGAGCTGCTCATTATCATACCATCATCAGATGGTAGGCTGTTCAAATCTATTTCCGTCCGTTCCGTCCTTCTTTTAAACAATACCTGTTTTCATTATTTCTCGAGAAGATTTGGATGGATTTTTGTTTCATATGTAGGTTTCCCTTTGTCGCTAGTTATATATTATGTACTTTGGGACTGATCGGAAAAACTTCATGACCGACTATCGGTATTTCTGAATAAATAGGCCATTCTTCTATCTAAAATGAGTTGTGTATTGTCTAATTAGCATTTGGTTTCGATAGTATTAGTACGAAAGGGACTACTTTCGACACTTAATATTTGGAAAAATAAAATGGCCGATAGGCGACCATCTTAGATTTCAGACTATTGAAATACTAAAAAACGGATTCGGGAACTGATGACAAATTGCTGACAGGTGCCAATCTTGGGTTTTGCAGTGAAAGTTTGTTATTGCAATTTCTTGATAGGTACTGTCTGGATTTTTATTAAATGTCTTATGTACATATGATCATACAAAGGTGGACACCAATATCTCCCTAGGATAAAGATCGTAAGATGGTGTGCAACAAGATACCTATAGGATATGAAGATCATACGATGGTTGATGCAAGCATCTCTCTGGGAAATAAAGATCATACAATGGTGAGTGCCAGGATCCCCCCGGGATTTAAAGATCATACAGAGGTTGGTGCCAGGATCCCTTTTGAATATAAAGACCATACAATGGTGGGTGCCAGGATCCCTTTTGAATATAAAGACCATACAATGGTGGGTGCCAGGATCCCTCTGGAATATAAAGATAATATAATGTCGGGTGCCAGGATCCCTCTGGGATATAAAGATAATATAACGTTGGGTGCCAGGATCCCTCTGGGATATAAAGATCATATAATGTTGGGTGCCAGGATCCCTCAGAGATCTTTTGTTAAGCATTTTTTCAATACATGTACCTGACTTTATCCGTGTAGTATATTTTTATAGTATATTCTTGTTTTACTTTTGGAACTACAATTCAGAAATAACTTATTAAACCAGCACATTAGGAATTTTATCGTATTGTGTATGGGAATTCAAAGTGCCAACCAAAACCACTAAACAGCATATGTGATCAACCTTGAGTAGCTAGACTATTAGAACTTTTTTTCTTGAAACGGCCTGTCAACCCCAGTCTTATCGATTGGGTGAATAATTATACAATTTACCTACAAAATATCCTGTCCAACATTTACGTGGGAACAAAACCATACTCAAAAGATAAACAAAATTCAAATAAACTTGACAAATACATAAATTAATGATTTGAAACCAGTAGTAATTAAAATTTGTTCGAGAAAATAGATGTTTACCTAAATGAAAAATATTGAAAAAGAATCAAAACATTTCTCTAGGTCGTAAAAAAGTGTTTTTATTACGCGAGGATCTAAAAACATCTAATTTACTGCTTATAGCGTTGATCACATTACGCCGAAAGCGTTGTAAGAGTATCAAAATTGAGAAAGACTGAGAGTTTGCTTTAGTCACCATCTACACGTACCAAAGTGGCCATATTTGAATGTGTAAACCAAGTTAAATACGTACTATACATACTAAATACTTTTGACACCCAGTTTAAGAAGACAAAAAGTTGAGCGAAAAACATCAAAACGATAATATATAAAACTCAAATTTTAGTCCACCATCATCAGATTGTGGGTTATTCAGACTGGTCTTCATTGGTGTATTTTTATCTATGTCATCATACAAACTATTACAAAATACTTGAGAACGGTCATAAAGAAATATCACACAATATCACGTTTATTAGCAAAGCATTGTCATTTATATCAACCATAAATGTGACAACAAGACAGAATGACATTTATTCAAGAACAAAATTCCTAGTGTAGACTCGTCCATATACATGCAATCATTATTCATATTCATAAGTAAGAAATAATATTTTTGAAATGTCGACCAGTATTATGACGAGAAATCATGATGTTAAAATCACTAATGCCACTACAATGAATATTGTTCTCAAAATTTATACATGGTAACGAAATGTAGATTTATAGAACGAAGGTGAAAGCGTACCTTTGAAGTATACAAACGTTTAGACTATACAATGTAGATCGATATATATATCGATCTACATTATGTATCTACATGCTATATATATATATATATATTGATGGATAATTTATACAATATATACAATGTATGATACAAGACTATATATCAATCGTTACGTCATCGATTTGATCACATGATTACATAAGTAAAAAATATAACTTCGGCTACATATGGCACCGGACTTAGCATCACATTTCCATCACGTTTTTCGCTTTAAATATTTACATGCTATGTATTTGTTTCATAGATAAAAATGATGAAATATATTTCTAAAGCATTTCATGACAGTGACAATCATCAGGCTATTTAATTGCACACGACATTGTTCCAGACAATATTATGGCTACTGTACTACAACGGTTTCTAAGACTGAAATGTAAAGTCAATTTGTGGAGGTTTGGATGAATATTGTTACAGTGGTGATGAAACTGATGATTATGAAGATGAAAAGGAAGATTCGGTCCACGATTTGGCCTAGAAGTTGCCACTCCGCAATATTCTCCTCCCATTTGTTGTGATCGCGCATGAATCTTTCGATCTTGGACAGCGACTCGAGTTGTTTTCTCAAGATGTTGATCAGTTCAGTGGCATTCAAATGAGAATCAGATTCACTCGATTTGACATTCTTACTGTTTTCATATCTATTTGTTTCATCAATTGTCTTGTTATTTTGTTTTCCGTTGTCAAGGCTGTTGTTTTTCATTTCAAAATCAAAGGCTTGAACTTCAATTATCTTTGGCTGTGAAATAAAATGAAATAAAATATATAAATAAAACATACCAACATAACAGATTGATCATCACAGATGTTTGGAAATCGCTAATTTTTTTTTAAAAAATTGTGACTTGGTTTGGATTGTGATAACAAACCCGACATCAATACATTTTCGAAAAACATTAACTATATAAAATGTGGTTTCAAACACTTTGAAACTTTATTTTCTACCAGCTTATTCTTTCATATTGTTAGCAAAAATAGGAATCGGAGTGTTTTGGGAAGACATGAATATCTTGTTGACGGGCGAACATCTCACAGAAAGGGACCGTGTACCGTTCTTTCGATTGATTTAGAATGTTACAAAGTACAACATACCGTTGGTGGGGAGGGCGCGACTGTCGCTGTGGATTTTTGTGGTGTTTTGACTAAGACCAGTTTCCCGAGGACACCGAAGAAAATGTTCCTGATAATCTTCGGAACCTCTTTGCCGTGATTGCCCTTGTAGTGGAGATTGAGTACAACGACTGTCATCAGACAAGAAACAGATACCAACAGCATGGCACATAGAAAGTAGACACCTGTAACAGGAAAAAACACACACTTGTAATAGAAGTCGACAATTAGATTGTAAACAACAGTCACATAATTGTCACACAAATTGATTGATGGTATCACACAGGATGTTGACACTAAATCAAATTATATACTTATTTATATACAGTTGTGGAAACGAACAAGGCACCAAAAATTTCGTACGCAGATCGCGCATACATCGTGCGCACGATACATTATCCTGCACACAACTGTACGATAGGATCGCACACTTTGTTCAGTTTGGTATAAATGGTTGACTAAAATAACGTTTTTGAAAATTAAACTGAAAATTCGTGAAGTTATCACTTAATAGCGATCACGTGAATACTGTATATATCAGGTCCGAATCCGTACCAGCTGGGCTGCCCGTGTAACAAATACAACACTTAAGATTTACCTGAGCATATTTTTTTTTTAAATAAATGGAAATGATAGTAATACCAAAGTAATGGAAATAAAATTTTCGTTCTGACGGTATGAGATTATAAATGATTCACTGCTGTGACATAAAGAGACTTCCATTGAATGTTAACATATATAATGTGCACATAATGTGTGTCCGTACACTAAGGTTGGTCACATGTGGCCCTTTGTAAACAAAACACTTAAGACTACGAATGTATCTAACTATTCAGTGTGTATCTGACATATCTACAAGTGTACAACCTATATATCAATAGCTCAATTTTAAAATATTCTTATATATTTAGACAATAAATAAACACTATCACACTTATTTATCACCCATTTCTAAATTTATATCAACCGCGAAAGAACCGCTCAACGTGTGGACAAATGTGCGACGGCTTATTTCCTCCAATTTTTCCTATCGTGCCCAAATCGGGCAGACATAATGCGCACATCGCAACGTGTAACGTTGTGCGATTCCACAACTGTAGATACGATTTTAATGGTGCTTGTTCTTAAACATAAATACAGGATGCAATACAATTTTAAAAATTATTTTTCTATGAAAAAAAGTACCTATATATGGAAATGTCTCCGATGAAGGAGGCAATGTTTCAGACACGACCAAAAGGAAAACAGCCAGTGAGAGAAGGACAGTTATCTCCAGGGAAACTTTCTCTCCGGAGTCCGGGGGAAGTAGGAAACCCAAACAGGCCACAGATGTTATCAGCATACACGGAAACATCAAATTTAGCAGGTAAAATAGGGGCTTCCGATCGAGTACGAGATAAAACGTCACATCCGGGTAGGGTTCCGGGCAACATCCATAGTATATTACGTGACGAATAATGTTGACGGCCTTCACATCCCACTCTACGTTGTTCACGAATGACGTCAGATCTCCTGATACTGTACTGTTCGTGACGTTGAGCTGTAACCCATGGTAAGCCCAGGATCCAAACGTCAGTGCGCATGTTTGAGTATCAAAAGGAAAGTAGGTCACATCGACCTGACAGAGACTAGTGATGACTGTTGGGAAGTTGTAGGCGATTGAACCCGATGATGAAATGGTTAGTCTGTAGTCCTTTACACCCTCGACAATACTACCGGCACTGAAAAGGCGAAATTAAACTTTTCAACGACACTAGGAAAGCTAAAAACTATTTTTGACAAATAAAAAAAACCTTCCAAGTGTAACGATCTTGTAATTAAAGAAATAGAGTTTACACGACAAGTAATTTTTATATATGATAGTTCCTTATTTTTCAACAGTTTAGAAAAAAAACATGAGATTTAGCGAATAAATTTTAAACTGAATTTGTTAAAAATCAAAATTTAAAATCCTTATACATGTACACATTTTTTATAGTAATGTAGAACTTGATAAATTGTCAGAATACGTAATCAGTTAAATTTTGCGAAGTACGGAATTATGCCATCATCAAAACTACAGTTTTTTGCAATTTCTTTTATCTTATTTACGATAAGACAAGGATTATTACAATGGACAGTTACTTTCCAGTTCACCATTGCCCTTTTAATTAATTACATTACACGAATTTCCATTTCGTATTTACGTTGCAAGTTTTGCAATTTTTTGTTGTTGTGAAGTACAAAATTCGTGGCGAGTTTCATAACATCTCATACCAAATGGAAACGAATATAATATTCTATTTATCAGCAAGTCAGATACTTTTACAAGCATTTATGAAAACCATATTTTATGAGACTGAAATATCGATTTGAAATCAGCGACATTCTTACACAAATAATTCTTTCGTGACTTCACAAAGATAGGACGTCATGAAGTAACTACGGCACCACAGTTGAAATTAACAATGAAGTCAAAGTTTACGAAATGAGTATTGTTACACCAATAACAGAAAGGTTAGATGATGAACAGGTTTAATGGCGTGTCAAATACTATCATCCGAGGAGATGCGGGTGTCACTTACTTATCATAAAGAGTGATGTCTGGAATCCATAGTTTTTTGACTGGGACGATGAGATGAGCTATAGAATCAAATTCTGTAGCGTTCCATACCAGATTACAGTCATCCCAGTTCTAAAAAACACCAACTAAATTACATCAAAAACAGAGAGCGAAAAATTAATAGCAAGCTGACACTATAACTTTCAGACATCCATTTTTAGACTGGAGCACTTTACTTCAGTAAATACTGCAGTCAGCTAATATTTTAAACTGTAAATGTTTGTAAATACCATATTTTCATTAACATATTGTGCTTTACTCTTAATCTGATTTAATTAGTGAGAGTAATTAGTACAGAATTTTGTAATTAGATATTTGAATTCACATAACAATTACTTCCCGGTTTGTAAAAGATTCTCCAAAACTTATCCAGATTTGACGTCAAGACATGCTTGAGACTACGATTGTTCATAAAACGGTATTAAAACACCATGAGGGACAATTTGTATGCTGTGTAGATTTCATACCACTTCTTTTATACATACGCCGGTTTTTGTTGTTGTGTATCAGTATGTTCAAAGACTCCGTTATAATGACATACTATTATGTACTATTAATATGTTACACCAAAAAACTGATAATTTCTGCCTAGTCAGTAATTCAAAAGTGTCCCCGCCGTTTTATATCACTATTTCATTCTGTGACCATAGCATTGTGTATTTCTTAACTTAATTCAACGATCAATTGTGACTTGCTAAATATAGATGTTGTTTTTTTTTCTTCTATACAACTTACCCATCTCATCCAAGCATTTATCTGGAGAAGTTGTTTTGGTTCATTCTGTAGAAGAAAGTTTAAATAATGACTTATATGGTGAAGTCATAACAGAATCAGCATGACTAAATTTCATTAACAACAAACAAACAAACAAAACAGATATTATGATAAATGTTGGTAACATATTGTGTATCCAGATCCTTTAATACAGCTGTATGTTAACAAAAACTAACGTCATTTTATCTTTTTTCCCAAATTTTGGTCAGACTATCATTGAAAAGTACCTTAAGCACTTGAAATGGCTTTACTTACCAACTCTATAATTTGTCTGAGAGCCATTCCAATTCTTACTTCGACCGGTCTGTTGATGTCACACACTGGTTTAACTTCATTATGGTAATTCGTGAAGAGATGGGTCATAAGGGCAGAGACGTTGGCCTTTTCAGCAACACCTGCGGGTTCACAAATTCAAGACTCAGTGGAGGTCAATTATCGATTTATCAATAGATCTTGCATTATTACCAATCATTTGATTGAAACAAACTAACTACCCCGTCACGTGAACCATTTGTAAAGATTGTCGTCCAATTTCAATACAAAGTGGATACTAGAAGAAAAATAAACACAATAATTGAATGTCATTCAATGCTTTCAATTGTTACTTATGAATATTTAATGCGTTTGATATCTTTGAAATTATTGTATTAGGGACAACATCAAGAAGAACATATTTACATATCGAATTATAATGTCGATGTGATTAGGGTAGACTATTTTTTTAAATTATAGTCGGTGTTGTCTAAAACTATCAATACATATTCATAAATACTCACTTTGTTTTGATTTTTGCATATAATTCTAAATAATTTAAATATGCATATACATTCATCGACGCTTATAGATTATTTTTCTATCGTAAATTTTCAAACAAGCAGAACAAACACTTTTTAGGACTTATGTACTGGTTTATCGTTTAACTCCAACAAAGAACATTTAAAATGTTTGCTTTGCAATATTTTTGACATCCGCTGTAAACATTTGAAACAGGTGATTCTATTATTTTTTTTTTTTTTTTGTACTGCTGGCACATGGTTGAATCAATTTCAAATACATTACTTTATATTCCATTCGTTTATCATACATGAAGAACGACATTGTGCATTATGAAAATTGCCGGTATGTATTACGATGAATAATTTTTTTCAAGAACTTTAACCCTAACTCGAAATACATGGACTAGAGTAAAATATTATAAGCACAATTGAACATATAGCGAAACTTCTGTATACATCGATATATTATTTCTTAGGAAAAGACGAAGCCGTATTTTGAAATTTTTGACAGCATGTCGCAATCGAACGGTCAAAAAACCCAGTAAGATGGTTAATGTAAATGTATATAATCTATTTTGTGCTGAAAATATTACACTAAAATATGATTGAGTAATGGCGCTCTTTGTTTATCAATTATCACTGATACCCGAAATAATTTTTGCGTTAATTTGCCTTAAAGTGATAAGTGCTAAAGTTTGGTTACGGCAAATTAAGTGTTTACAGCATCTGCGACAGTTTTTCAAACGGCATGTTAAATGAAAACATGAAAACACAAAACTTTTTATTTTCTTCTAATCTTGCGTAAATATCTCTGTTGTCAAAGATATGGTCAATGAACGTGAGATTGCACTGACCGCTATGGGTCACGTGTCTGTTTGTGGCGTCATCAATAATTGATTACGTGACACCTATTTAAACAAACACATGCAGCACTGTCCCAGTTGTTCTATGGGTTGTCGGAGAAAATACCAAAATGTGTATAGAATCATAATGAAAATTTAATTTTGATAACACTAGGGCAAGATATGAACAAAAAATAAATTACACGGATACTCCTGAAAAATTACATGGAAAATATCGTCTGCATCATCGACAACAGCTGTCCTGTAGATCTTGGTCAATCCAAGTAAAAATGTCACGTTCTCAAGTGAGAACAAGGTCTAACACAATGGAACCAACAGGCAGACCAACTAGCATCAAATACGTATAATTTTATATCGTACAGGAATTAGAATATTTCCCAAGATCTCTATAACGACAGTAGAGTTGACCAGTGGCCAGTGAAAAATTCAAACTGTTGTCTCGGGAAAAACAGGAGATTTGAAAGTGAACCTAAAACTAACAGTTTATCAATCATGTCCCCTCAAATCAACAACTTAAAAAAAAGGAAAACGATCGATTGACTAATTAGATGTACTTGTTCTTTATAAATAAATAAACATTGTAAGATGTACTTTCTTATCAATTCACATCAGTGGCATATGCATTAAAGAAATCTCGAAAGACAAAATGACGTTTGTGGAGAAAAGGTAGATTTACTCATGAAAGCGATTCCACCTGTGATGCCTTAAAATACTTTCAGCAACCTTCCTGACGAACACGATTAGTCCAAGACATCCCAAGGCTTTCCACACACCTTATTGTAAAAAAACCCACTTTTGTTTGAAATACCAAACCCGTAATTGATTCATGTCCCTCAGACACGTTACAATGATAAAACATTAGAACAATCACAACGTCAGATCTAGCTAGCTTGCATCACTATCCCATTTCCGCCTCGCTCGTGGGAAATGATAACCAACAACGCGTCATACCCAGGGAATACACACAATACTTAAAATAAACAGTCAATGATGCATGAGGTTTGTTTCAAAGTAAATGAAAACATTCAATCGTGATCGCTAAATGTAAAAAAAAAAAAAAATTAATATGGCGTAATAGTGCAAGTTCATTTCGAGAAGTTGTCGGTGCTATAACTGGTATACAGTACGACTGCGGTGAATGAAGCATTCGGTTTATCCATATTGTCATTTCTACGTATGCAAATCATAATCAAACTTTGCGGCATTCAAAGGCGTAGGTCAATGATTTATGGCAGAAACGGGTTTTAATCGAAAGAGTTTCATGTATATGTCACGTAACTCATTAAGACTTGATTGCTGTGATCGGCAATATTCAACGGCGTTTATTTCATAAACATTAAATGACTTTCTCACTATATTTGCCGATGCCAATATTGCTCACATTCATACAACAATTTCTTGTGTGTCACACAATTACTATATAATTCTAAATCAATACCTTGTGTGTCACACAATTGTTACACAATTTTAAATCAGTATCGTGTGTGTCACACAATTGTTATATAATTCTAAATCAATATCGTGTGTGTCACATAATTACTATATAATTCTAAATCAATACCTTGTGTGTCACACAATTGTTACACAATTTTAAATCAGTATCGTGTGTGTCACACAATTGTTATATAATTCTAAATCAATATCGTGTGTGTCACATAATTACTATATAATTCTAAATCAATACCTTGTGTGTCACACAATTGTTACACAATTTTAAATCAGTATCGTGTGTGTCACACAATTGTTATATAATTCTAAATCAATATCGTGTGTGTCACACAATTGTTATATAATTCTAAATCAATATCGTCAGTGTCACACAATTGTTATATAATTCTAAATCAATATCGTGTGTGTCACACAATTGTTACACAATTTTAAATCAATATCGTATGTGTCACACAATTGTTATATAATTCTAAATCAATATCGTGTGTGTCACACAATTGTTATATAATTCTAAATCAATATCGTGTGTGTCACACAATTGTTATATAATTCTAAATCAATATCGTGTGTGTCACACAATTGTTATATAATCAGTTTCGCGTGTGTCACACGATTGTTATGTAACTCTTAATCAGTATCTTGTGTGCCATACGTTGCCATAAGAAATCAATGCTTTCCTCCAAAAGTCGCCTGTTACTTTACGATTTAGATCTATTGATTTAATTCTAATTATTTTTTATCTTAATTGTTATATAATTTACAGGAAAGGTAAAGCAGGAACACAAATATATTTGTTTATGGATTGGTAAACCTTACTACTCCTATGAATGTTTTGTGTTTTATGACAACGGAATCCTTAGGGTAACGACAAGAATAATATGATTATAACTGAATGCACAGTGATTAGTGAAGACTAAACGATGCATTCGTACTGTCACTTTTACATCAGTTTCTCTGAATGAATTTTCCCTTTCTGGGTAGCAATATTTCTGCACCCCGACCTATGATGTTTACTTTTCGCAGTTGATTTTATATTCAGGCGCTTGTTACCAATATCCCGATTTTCTTACAAAATGTGACAAAATTACAGCGTTTCGAGAGATGTAGGTAGATGAGATTTTGGAACCGTTTACAGCAGTCATTCTCATCTCATGACGAAAAAATTCTGAATTTAGAACATGGTGGGTGTCGTTGATGAAGCAGAAAATGCTTACCCTTCTGTGCTTCACTTGTTCAGAAGCCTTTATAAAATCTTTCGTTTTTCATATTTTGCCCTAGTTTTTTTATTTGAATGTAATTTTCTTTTGACAAGTCGGTATTTTCAGTGTTCTTTGTGCATAGCGAAACCACTGTTACCACAAAATAAAATCTAACATGACATTCTGATAAGAGGGAAAAAGGAACAAGCTTGTGAATACCAAATTTATTCTGACATGTGAACGCCGTATTGCGGGAAGCAGGAATGCCACTGACAAATCATACAAGGCTCGGAATATATTGCTCTAATCATCCAACCAATTTGTTGTATGAATTGTTGATGATGACGTTTGGTTACGCTATCAAGCGGTGATGGATGCGAAAGCATGTCATTTCTTCAAAAATGAAAACGAAAGTTATTCATGGGAAAAAAACCAATTAATCTTATCCTTTATAACAACCTAATGTCATTAATTAAAAACAGCAAGTTAGAGCACTTAGAGGCATTTCCTTTTGTATGAGATATTGGCACGTCTTTGATTTCAATTCTATTTGATTTCACATGTCACAACTTGACGTCAATGTATAAATTGATAAACAGTGCTAGGTAGTTCAATGTTTTTCTTACTTTAAAATAAAAGTTAAGAGAAACATAATCCCTGTTGCGACCTAAATAACTGTTTTGACCTCAAAAGTAGCCGATGAAGTGTTCTGGTGCGATGTCACTGAAAATATCAATAAAAATGCAAGTGTGATAACTAAAATGGGTTGGATGACTAATAATTTAGTCTTTGGATGTAACTAATTTAATAGGAAAAAGCCCACACTTATTAATTGAGAAATGAGCAGTACTTTATCATTATGACAATTTTCATTACAATGGTTGTGTTGCTGGCTGGAGACAAGTTTCAATGAACGTTTCGAGAAAAACATGCAAAAATCACACTATTGATATTTCTTTAAATGGAAAAACTTGTGGATTTGATTAAGATTTCGTAATTATTCCTTTACAAATGTCATTTAAGTAATTTCATGATCACAACTTAAAGCACGATCTCTTTTTATCAATTTTCAAAATCCAATCAGAAGAAGTACTCAAGACAAATTGATTGAGCTTGCTATTTGATCGTTATATTTTGCATTGAAACGTTTGAAGGTATTCAGAAGAAAAAAAAAACAAAATTCTAACAATAACCTAAACTGTGTTATACAGCTTATTCGTCCTTCTTGGTCCTGTCAGTGATGATGACAAATACAAATTTAGAATTCAATACAACAATGTCAAACAGATGGTTCGTCCATTCTTTTACTGGTCAGTAATGGTAAGGCTTAAAATGTCTTAAGTACTCCCCCGAAAGAAAATAATATAATGTCCTACCTATACCTTTTATCTCAAAGCGTCATCGAATTTGTAACTTGATTTTGTTCAATATTAATAGGTAAATAAGAAACAGTTCAACGGTATCGAAAGAAACAATGGCAATTTCTAAAACAAATACATCAGATATCGAACTGAATTCTTTTGTCGTTGCTGACCGCTGACCTGAATGGAAACTACCACTAACAAAGATAAGTACATCTAAGACCGCTTCCTTTGATATTCATTTTATCAGAAATAGAAGTTTGTAATGACTGTATATCTTCAAAGCGATCGATTTATCGAGTAAGAATGTTTGAACGCCCATTAGGGGCAAGAAATTTAAACGGATAGCCTTACCATTGTACAATGGTTTTTGATGTTTTTGTGATACGGAGTATTGACAATATATTGGGTAAGTGACACATGAGGATCAGGCAAATACGTAAAATTGTT